ATAACCTCCCGTGTGTAATTAGAGTATGAACTACTTATACTGGGCTGTCATTCCGTCCAAGTTCGTCGTTCTGTCAGTTTTAACAAGCTATATAAAAACGAATAAAATATATTATACAGTCTATAACAGTGGACTCCAATACAATGGAGATGAGATAATGTTATCCAGCAAAAATATCCAAACTCATAGGTCATTTGTGTCGGAACACTTGGTAGAGGGGCGTATTATATTAAACTCTTGCCTGGAAACCCCATAAATATCGTTACATTCCGCAGAATTGCCCTCTAGGCAGGATAGATAAAGGTAAATAATATCCGTTGGGCTCAACAATGGTATATACCTCGGTCGTGGTAGGCGCATTGCGTGATTCGGATGAAAACTTGCTCATGGGAATACCCTTCGAAACGAAATTACGAATCGGTGAAAATGTTTAGGATTATGGCTGCGTTTTATCCGAAACCCGTCCGTGGAGAAATATTTAACTAGGTATTTCAATAGTAGATAACGGTAATGGTTTTGGATTTAACAGTTTATTTGAAAATCCTAAGCAATTGATTATTATTGAAATATTCTTCTCGGATATTCGAGTGGAAAAAAATCTGAATACAAATTGACAACTTAAAATAAAAAAATATACGTGGGTGTATACTATATATATTATTTTCAAATAATTATCGTTCAATCATTAACCGCTGAGTTTCTGATTCTAGAATTATAATTTATTTTAAGCAATACAATTCTTAAATGTAATTATTGCAACTAAAAAAATATGATAATACGAGGGAGGGCTTATAAGTAATGTCTATTAACGCTTAGTTTAAAACTATTATACATCGAATAATGAACTAAAAACACATGTATAATAAATAATAATATCGTATAATAGTCATGAGTTAAAAATTACCTATACTGATTTTAAATTGTTTCTCTAAAATAATATGTACCTATAAGTATAGTAGGTACACGCAACATGCATGGTGCAGTTATTAATGACTTCATGAGTTGCGTAATCAGACGATAAATATTTATTTCAATATGGCTAATAATCATGAATATTTTATTAAATTTGTTGTGTACTGATATTATTATTATAGTTCATTTTTATGTTTTCAGTATAAGATAATGACATCTAATGGAGTGGCATATTATAATTTTAAATCAAATGAGATGGAGTTTTGTTTATGATTTTCTATTATAAACATTATAAACACATCGCTACCTCTGCAATTCTAGCTCATTTAAATTTTAAACGTGTATAGTTACAGCATATTGCGTAAGTACACAGGCCTTACACGAATATTAGTATACACACTGATAAATGAAAAATAATCAAACGTAAATTATGACAGGTAAAGGTACAAAAATAAAATTGTCAACTTTTTATCACAAAACATATTATTTGTTTGATGTTTGAAAACAGTACAACTTTTACTAGCTGCTAAATATGTATTTGAACTATGGTAGAACTTGTTGTTTTTAAAATACTACTAATTCAAACAATATGCATTATTGTCTTTAGAACTATTATTCATTCCAGATGTTAATATACAACAATATTGCACTTCGATAATATGATTTTATTTTACCACCTTTTTCTGTTTTTAAGTTGTGTTGGTAAATTACCTAAAATCGTGTTATTTATCACATAATAATAATATTAGAAATTATGAACTAATTACTAAACCAAGGGTCAGTAATTATTTATATTATCGAGCCCGATACATTTTAATATTTGTACATCATCAATATAATATTATATAATATGGAGTACACTCGAAGATAATTCCATGCAATTGTACATGCGTGCGATTGAACTGGTCATGGAGTTTACAATAATGCGGATTCGAAAAGTTTTGCCGGTCGGTTGAGAGTCAACCCTTTTTGACCTCACTTGTCGTGGACACGAGTTTCGACGCAAAACCTCCCCACACGCGGGTGCGCGTGCAATTAGGGATAGGGTTAGTGAGCCGTAAACGTGAATATATATATGTATATACTATATATAATATATATTGTGCACGTAAGCGAGCTAGTTCTCTCCAAATTGTCTTCGGTTGCGATCACAATTTAGAATGAACGACCAACGTAGTTTGTGGTCTTCATTATTATTTCGCTTTCATTTCTCTGCTTTTCGGATTTTTCTGAGACAGTTCACTGCACTACAGTTATATTAATAATTAATAATAATATTATCACCAACAGTGCTCCGCAACCAGGGCGGGCCAACAGTTTTTAAAATTTTTTTGCATCGACTGCATGATAATAATTATGCAGCTTCCCATTTTAAATTGTTGCGTGGAGACTGGGTTTTCGATGGCTGTTCTGCGTTTGTAGCCAATAGCGGATACCATTTTCAAAACATCGATAATATTGTTATTTTAGGGACGGAAAATTTGATTTTGCCTAGGTACTGCACTATTTTCACTTGAGCCGACCCTGGTACGTAGGCTTGGTCAACCCATAACCTACACTGGCAGGACTATAGGCACTTGGGGTTGTCCAACAACTAAAAACGAGGAGCCCCAAGCACTACGAGGATAGCGGTCTAGCCGAGAAGTGTCGAAGGAGCGTACTCACCCTCCATTGTATGCGCAGTCAGTGGCGTGGTGTGGCGATGAAATAATACATCAAGAAAAACGTGAAGAATCTCTGAACCCCTTTCTTAATTTACTATATATAGATTCGAACTAGCAGGGTAATGTCGACGATCTTAATGTTTGCGTAAATTCAATGAGCCCCAACAATTTTGAATATACTGACCGTCATTGTTTACACTATACTCACTCCCGATCCAGATTACGACATTAACAATTGTGTACAATATTAATACTGTGTTTTCTACATTATGATTGATAATCGTCATTTATTATTGCAAGTACTTAATATGCTGCAGTCTTATTGTAAATATTGTACACTCGTCGGGCATACCATAGTTCGTACAGTTGCCTTTGAGAATGACGAACAGATTACACGAGTATATATAGTATCACGTGTGATGGGGAGTGACAACGATATAGCCGCGGTTTCGGGGTAGAGCGACCGAAAACGAGGGCCGGACGCTAAACAGAGACCTAACCCATAGTTGTACACGAAATAATACGGTGGGGTGGATTCGTTCGCGACTCGGACGAGATAGGGTCAGAGCCAGTGGACGGTCCGATCAATTAAAAAGCTCTTATATACGCGTCGGACACGCTGCTGGGCGCGCGGAAGGGATGACGATGCGGCGGTCCGGAGTTTATTAATATACCGGTGAGCACCACCGCTTGTGTACACACACACACACACACACACACACACACACACATACATATATATGCTATACATGTACACACCGCGAGGTTTTCACCCCTCTACGGTCCGATCCCTGCCCTTGCTATAATACTCGGCCAAAGTTCTCTTGACAATCCGCCGCCGCCGCCGCCACCTTCACTGCACCAAGCCTGCAGGACGATATCATCCCACGCGTGAGTTTCGCGTAAACCTACACTATGTGTGAGGGGGTACCTTTATATATATATATATGTTTATTCAGCCAGGATGGTTTTGTTTTACAGCGACAGATTGAACACCCTCCTGCCCTTGCACCCGCACGCATCGCCACCCAGTCGCAGCCCGAACGGACGTCCGGTCGCGTATATATACACATAGCTTGTCGCCTCTTGTCGCGCTGCACGCCAACCCGCAGGCTACAGGACAAGCGACCCGAATCGTCCGGACCCGACGACTGCAGCCCTGCCTTACAACTATAATAATTAAATAATATATTATATTATATGTAAATAATAATTATATGTATATCATGATATAATATTATAACGGATGAATGTTATTGAAAATCCAATCCTAGAAAAACGCTATTTTCACTGTAGTTAATACGCGGCCTGCGAAATGCATTATCGAACGGATCGCCGACGGCGGCAGTCGTGCATAAATAATTTATTAACTTTGGGTGGAAAAAAAATTAAACGTTTGAACTTTACCCTCCGTCGCTGAATTGCGTAGACGTCTTGTTGTCGTCGGAGTGCACGCAGTGTGGTGGTCGTGGGGCGGCGGCGGCATTAATCCTGCTGTAAGAATCCCGCTTTCAGATTTGTTCTGCGCGCTGCAGCGGTAAATCATTAAAAGTTTTTTCATTTTCTAATACTTATCGGCCTAATATTTCCCGTTATTAACACCGAATGCACGAAGACGTACCTGTAATGGTATTAAATAGTGTCGCAGGGTGTGAGTAATTTATTTTTTATAACATGCACACATATCATGATAATATCTGACCGTTTATAATATGATCATTTCGCCTTGACATGTCCCTCTGCTCACATTATGTTATTATTTCAGATCGCATGAAACTTATTATAATTATGTACAACTAACATTATAGTTAGTTCAAACTGCAGTTAAGTATAGTCCACGTCATAATTTATTTATAACGAATAACGATACAGCATAGCGGCCGCGGTATATAGATAGAAACCGTATTATATAACTTTTGTTACTTTATAAAATTACAATATTAATAACAACTATTTTCAAAGCAATAAAACATAACATTAAAAGCCAATTTTAATCAATGTTAAAGTTTATATATCTAGATACAGTCAGGAGAAATAAATTATTTAGTAACAATTTAAATTTTAAACTGCAAGAATATAATCGCTTTATTTTTTAGTATAGATAAATATGAATTGTTATCAATAATAATATAATTATTATTATAAAACTTTAATACTATCCATAAATGTATACAATATAATCAAACAACTCGTTCAATTTAGTTCATTTTACTATACAGCCATAATAAAAAAAGTAATAATGTACAGCATACTATAGTTCATGACAAAAATATGACGACAGGAATGAAATAAGAATATTTTCTACTAACTAATCGAATAAACAGTGTGAAGAAATAGAATTTAATTTACAATTATTATCTACTATCCAGCTGGTCACGATTATTTAAAATACAATTTGCTGTTTATCGTTAATTGTATCAGTTTACTAGTTTAATAGAGTACCTAAATTATTTTCAGCAGTGTTAACTTTTGTGTAGTACCTGTCATAACATACCCCGGTAAACAGTCACGGTGTCGAGAGTTTTTAAATTTATTGGATCAAGTTGCATAATAATGAAGTAAGTAAATGTAACCTTTTTAGTGGATTAAATAATTTGTTTCAATAATCATGATAAGATTAGTTTTGTATGGTTATAGGTGTAGATGTTCAATATCTTTAAATATTTAAAACCAACCTGGTAGGTATGTATATAAAATATATATAAAAAGGATTAATGCGAGTACCTAATCATTATACTCACATAAGCATTTGATAAAAATATTAATAATTCATAAATAAATAATAAAGAATGATAAATCGTACATTTTTCTCATTGTATTGCGGAACGTTTTTTATCAAATAATATGGAATTTTTATTATTTTATCTTTTTTAAAATTATTAGTATGCAGGTACCTATAAAATTATAAATATTTCAATTTTATTTAACAATAAAATTATTGAAAAGTGAATACCATCATAATACTCCACGGCCACATTTATCTAATGCGTATTATGCTATTATATCATTAGTTATTAGAAATTATTGGTATGTATATTTTTATTATGATCATAGTGTGTAATTGATGACCGTTGAAACTTTAAAATAAATGTGAACTGAACATTTTCTATTATTTCGTGAAATCCTAAGAAAACTTTAGAACATTTTTAGATTTTTTGGTATGATTTGGGTATAATTTACAGAATTATAAAACTTGTGAATTCAACTAGATTTGGTTCACAGAGTTTTCCAACTATCATAAAATCGCATAAATTATATTTAATTCTTTGTTTGTAAAAAACTTTTAAAGTTTATAGTATTATAAATGACATACAAAATTGACTTCACATAATGTTATAGTTTTATATCTTTTGAATATACTTTAATACTTTATTCTTGAGAATTTTTCATAAAAATAACAAATGTGGTTATCCTTGTTGAATCGTAACGAGAATGCGAGATAACGTGGTATCTGGTATTTTGTCTGTCAATAAATGAAAATAAGTAGTTGCATTATTTGGACTTATAATTTATTTTATTTTAATACTACATAAATTAGTTATAAGCTTAAAACAATTAGTGTGGGCAGTTTTTTGATGTAATAGGTAAAAATTATGACCTGTATAGTATTTAAAATTTGTTTAAGCTATAAATTATAAATGTACAAATTAGTTCTTAATAAAAAAAAAAATTATTTGTATTGTAATATTATATAACGGTTTTAGATGCAAATATTAATATTAGAATTTAGTAAGTAACCCAATAGCTTTTAGCAGGTTACACTATGTGTGCGGATAAAAAATACTAAATAGACTTATAGTACCTACCTACTTCTTAAGGATACTTAATTATAAAATGATTACGAGAGGATTAAAACATGTACCACATACATACAGCTGTACTATGTAATATATTTATATCAAAGTGTTTTAATAAATATTAATATTTCGAAAATATCATTAATGAACCGTTTAAAATATAAGTTAAAATCATATATACCTAGTTAATATTTAAAACTCATAATTGTCTAAGAAGTGTAGCTCTTCAGGCTTTATTCAAAGATAAGTTATAATCAATAATTTTCACGGCGCTACTGTTTCCAGTGATTGGTTCTATTGTAAGTGCATTTACGAGGTTATTATAGCTAGGTAAAATTGATATTTGACACAAATGAATTGCTTATAAAATTATTTTTTGGTAGAAAAGCTGGAGTCAAAATCATATTATTTATGAGAACATATGTCTACTAGTCTACTGAACTAATTCGGTAGTAAACCGTAACTAATACGTACGAGTATTATACTTACACACAATTTGTATCTACTTCTGTCAGAAGTATATATTATAATATCTGATACCATCTTTACTGACGTTAACAATATAATATTATGCTACATATACGATGTAAATTTATTATCGAGTACACACAAACTGTATACATACATATTACATACTACAGTGCATATATTATTGCATAGGTACGAGTAATACATTATAAATAATATAATATATTATATAAAAGAATGTTTGTTGGTTTGTTTGCTTGTCTGTCAATAATCGTTCTCTGTGTAAGTACTCCAAACTACTGGACCGTTTTAAATAAAAGTTTTATCAATAGATTCCTTGAGCCTCGGGGAGGTTTTGTATCTTCGTTTTTCCAAACCCATATATAGGTCGTCAGATCGATATAGACAATCACACATAAATTTTGTTTCGGCTCATGAAAATCGAATTTTTTTGTTTTTTTGAATTGTTGTCTTTGAAGGTTAGGTACAGATTGTATCACTATTACCTATAATTAATACAAACATAGTATATACAAATAAATAATAAATATAAAATAATAATACCCATATAATATATATATAAATGTTAACAAATATATATATTTTTTTAAACAAATCTAAAATCAAATATACCTACTTATGAACACGATATTACAATGATTACTTTTATGATTTGCTTTCTTAATATTCTTAACGACATTAATTTACATCTGCTTTTCAGCAGTGGTTGAATCTGTCTTCAGTTTTTTGCGTTTACGTAAAAAATATGTAGATCATATTTTTATTAAGAAGCGGAAAATCATAAAATTAATCGTTATAATATTGTTTGAGTATTATATAATAAATTTTAACTGAAGCAAAACGGAAAAAGGATAGAAAGATCGATTAATTTTAACCCGGGCAAAGTTAAACAGTTAGGTATAACTAGTAAATAATTAAATATTATACTCTTAGTAACGGTTTGGCTTTTGAATTTACTGAAATCCGAAAAAAACGCCTTTTTTCAGAATCGTGATGTCTGTAATCGTGTTGATATGCACAATAATATTAATAGTGGCAAAAGTCGACTGTAGAACGAAAACTGCGACGCCCTCGATACACAGCAGCCGCGTGGTGTCAACCGCAGAAGGTTTGACTAGTTCTTGCGCCGTAGTCGAAGAAGGTGTTCCTGGGTGCCAAGATCCAGGGGAGGCTAACACGTACGAAACACTGCAAGTTTATAATTTAAATTATATTACCTATAAACGTATATTGTATAGTCATGATTATTATCGTCCGTCAATAGCGTTTTTTTTTGTACCTACTACAGTCTGATTGTTTTCAAGTCGTATGTCGTATATTATCATGTCCAAACTTTTTACTCGGGCCAACTCATGGTTAGAGAATGATACCATCGTGGTTACAATTACAAACCGTAATACGGTATAATAGACAGACGACGTAGTTGTGAAATATTCAGATTAAACTCGAGATAGTCCGCGGCCGATATAGGTACCTACTATACGCGCATTAATGATACTAATATATAGGGTGTGCCTAATAGTATATATTTGTATATAATAATTATTAATAGTGTGCTATGACATAATATATTATGTTTGCACGATAATATCATCCTAAACTTATATTATTCAGTACCTATACATATCGCTGCACTGTGTCAAATGTCAATATTGTTAATGTTACGCATATAATATTATGTACTTATATGTATATTGTGTATATATAATTTATATTATAATGTATAGTTGTGTAATACATTAATATTATGTTAAAATAATTATATTATGATGATAGATAGTACCACCAATATGGCTCTTTGATGTACTTACTACGTAAGTATTAGTATGATGCATTGATACTCCGTGTCTACACATTATATTATTATATATTTTGATGTGAAAACTTTCAAGTTTGAGTAAACTGACGTCGTTCGACTTTTACGTACGAGATAAAAATTGTATTAAGAAAACACACATACGTGTTGGTAGCCGGGTGGAATAACTTTTAGTTTGTTATATATATTATGCTTCAAACTTTTTTAAATGGGAACATAATGTGATAACCAAAAAACTTTTTGGTTTTAAAATTTTAAAACGATTCAAGTACCTACAAAAAAAATGTAGGTACATGCTGTCGAACGTTTGTTTGATCCCTGTGGGTAGTCAATACCGGTGAAGAACAATTCCTTAAATTTTCGGAATCGTGATGATCTTAACAACTATTTTTATACATAGAGATACACGGTTCCACACATTATATATATATATATATATATATATTATATATACACACAGGTAGAAACAAGATTCTGCATGATTTTTTTTTGCAACGATTCCATACATTTGTTTGCTCTTGGTATTATACATTAAAAAATAAGATTACAAGGTAAAATAGTAATTTACATTTATCTTTTACTTTATCAAAAAAATTTAAATTATAAACTTTCGACAGTTGATAATGTACCATTGCTGCTGTCTAACAAAAATATCACAATGTTTTGGTACAAAATTATGGTCATGAAGTTTTAAAAAAAAATCTGTTATAAAATCAGGATATCAAATAGGATATTTTTGAGTACCTCAGAATTTGCAATGTGTAAATGAAAATCATATTTTTCCGTAAGTCTTGTGTTTAAGACAGCAGAATCGTCAGGGGCTAAAGTGGGGGGAGGCGGGCGTGGGAGGACTCTGACGGTTAAAAAGCGCCCCTTTAACAAATTAGGATTTTATTCATTAGACATTATACCTAAAATTATAGTGATCACATATTATGATCTGTCGGTGCATAGTTTCGACGTTTTTCAGGTTCACGACGCGAACGCCGTACCTGCAGGATAACTGGTTCAATGGGGCTCGGGACGACGACCGGAAGTCCTCGACGGAGGGCGGTAGTCGTCCCTTAGGCTGGTGGTGGCGTTTCATCGGAGGACTGAAGCGGAATCTCGAGAAAAAGGCATCGCCGACGACGACGACCGCGGTTCGGAGCGACGCTTCCCAGCTACCGGAAACAATTGTCACGTACTCGATTAAGGGTTGCAGCCCCACGATAGTGCCGTTCGATTTGTCGCCTTGCAGCAACTTATCACCGGATGTACCGCAGCCTGTCAGCACCACCCGGGTAATCTACTACGTGCCGCCGTCGTCGGGGATCGACAGATACAGCCCACCCGACTTTGACCAATGAGTGATGTGTGCCATTGCAGCCTGCAGGCATAATATTATGATGACCTACCTAATAATATTTAATTTACTACTATTAAATATACTATACTTTGTCTCAGAAGAGAATAATCAGACGGCCGACCAATGGACATCCATCTCCTACCAACATATCGGTGTTAGCGTGAGCACGTGGTTCTCAAAGTGCCAAACGCATCATTCACTAAGTGATTGTTCTCTTTTCAGACATAGTATAATATAGTACATTAGTACAATACCTATAGTATTACACCTCACTATATGCAGTGTTAACACACTATTATTATTTGATGACACTAAAATATTTTATTTTGTTGCGAATATAATATGCAATATTGAATGATATTTATAATATTCTGTTTATTTCAAAGACCGCCATCGGACTTTTTTCATTCAATTACAGTAAGACCACTGACCAGGCCTGGACACTTTAATATGATACCAATAATTGGCAGCCATTTTTTTGAAGGAAGATAATATTGTTATATATTTTGAATATAAATATAATAGTCATACTAATCCCTCTAAAAAAATGGGGAGTTCATTTATCAGATTTCCCTATGCTTCTTGTATAATAATTCTTTATCAGTGTCCATTCTGATTTATTTATTCAATGATGAAATTTATGTAGTATGAAACCTGAGCGCTGAAACCAGCCTTTTATGGAAAAATCAGGGGCAGCCCCAGAAACATGGTTGGGAAGGAGGGAGCTAAGTTATAATTTTGAGAAAACTTTTTATATCATAATAGATTTTTTTTAAATTTTTTTTGTAACAGTATACAATTTTTAGAAATACGGGCTTGGAAGGGGGTCAGGCCTAGCCCCTTCCCCCCCTGGAGCCGTCCCTGGGAAAAATGTTACGGTTCCAGCGAGTGTACAGAGTGTACAGTCCCAACCTGTACTAAATGGAAACCTGTCTAAAATGGAAAACATATTTAGACTGAACCATATTACACAGATTTTAATGTATTATTATTATTTATTATTAAAATTTAAGTGAACTTGGTACAAACCATTACTTTCCCCACAGTTACAATTTTGTATATTAACAAATTAATACATTTAAACTTTTAAATTAGGTAAATAGTTAAATTCTAAAAACAAAAAGTTATTAAAACTTAAGAGCTAAATTATAAAATATAGATCAACATTCAACAGTAATTATAGCTTATAGCGTAAAGATAATATTATAATTTACTTAATATAATAAATAACAATGAGATAGGTTGATAAAATAAGCCGTATTCGAGTAAATTTAAATAGAAGACAAATACATTAATATCATTGCACATTTTAATATAATTATATATATATATAATTACTATAAGCACAGTAGTACATTTTTCAATTAATATGAGGATATCAACCAAAAGAAAGTCAAATAAAATAGAATATTTATTTTGTGTACTTTTCTAGTCTAACTGGCTGATTATTAAAAAAAACCACGCAATAATGCCCGTCCTTCAAGTTGATTTTTATGATTTTTAAAACAAATGTTTTTATATGATTTGAAGTAGATAGATAATATTATATAAAACACGGGTATTCATAGCATTTTGTTTTTTTTTAATATTATAAACATAAAACCAATTGATATAGGGATAACGATGAGCTGCGTTGAAGAATAGAATATTACAGACCTCCGTGTACCCACTATTTCAATAATGTGCTATAGATAAATATATTTAGTTCGGGTTTAGTTTGTAATGTTTATTTACCTATGTATATAATGGCCAATATAAAAAAAAATATTTTTAGTGGATTATTTAATTATTATCGTTAATATTAAAAAAAAATATTCGATTGTCTGTATAATCCCTTTAATTGCTTGTTATCGTGTATTGTTGTTCATAATATATATTGTTTATTTAGGGAAATTTATTATTAAATATAAATGTTGAAAATATAATATCAAATACATGTATATATTTGGTGTAACCGAATAATAACGGTAAACACTACATATATTGTTATAAGGCATAATTATTGTTATTATTATTATCTGGTTAAAAACGTTATTGTAGTGTAAGCTTTGGGACGTCTTTGATTAACTTATTATTATAATAAAAAAAAACAAAAATTTTTCGTAAGTTTCGATAGTAAAACTATTATCACACACCTTTGTAGATATACTGTAAAGGTACACCTAGAACTTTTACTTCTTTAGTTATTGTCATTTTTTTTTTCATTTATTTCAAGATCTATCTGAATTGAACAATACTATTGCAACACAAAACCTATTAACCCAAATTTAGTTCTACTGGACGCAAATTGTCGCTATGTAATGCACTTGTATGTAGGTTAGGTCAGTGCCCAATGGTTCCCAATTAGTATGAAGTCACGGACCCCATTTTTGTAGGTGTTCGAGAATATTGATAGTGATAGTTATATTGTGATAGTGTTTTCAAACATTCTCAAATACGCTAACAAAAATGATCCATAAAATTAAAGATAAACAGTGATATTTAATGTAGAGAGCACAAGTTGTCTTATCGAGACAAACAATTAAACAAAATATTATTATATCCTTGGGAAATGGAAAGAAAATAATCAGTGTGGCTCCAGGTGTCTGAAAAATATATATATTAATAATAGTATAACAATGCAAGTAATAATGATATAATATGTGTATTTATAAAAATTTGATGGTCTACCATTTTCTAAAAAATCGAGTTTCGGTAGTCCAAAAATACCCAGAATTTCAAACGACAACGAATTAAATAATTGCACTATTATAAAATAAAAATCATTACAGTAGTACACAACCGAGGACCTCTTAACATCAACACGAGGACCACCAATTGGGAACCACTAGATTAGGTTACGGGTCGGGATATTCATAGCGGTTTAGCCACAGCTGTTGTACCGCCGGTGGTTCAAATTTCAAACGCCAATAGATCATACATGCTGAAAAACCACGCACAGTTAGTTACACGAAAAAATATTGGGTGCATGAAAAAATCATTAAATTTTTAAAACTTGGTTATATGAATGTCTATAACATGAAAGGAAATTTATAAATTATAAGCTATCCGTACAAAATAGATTTAGATCATGATCGTCTAGTAGAGGTTTTGTGTATAAAGGATACTCTTTGTGTGTGCTTCAAAATCCTACCCAACAGCTAAGTAGGAAACGCCGAGTTCTGCACCTGTGCGATACCCAGATCATATTTTAGAAAAATATTCAGGAAGCAATTTTTTATTGTTTTTACAAGACAGGATAGATAAAAAAAAAAATACGAAAAGTAACATATATCTATAAAATGAGCCTAAAAATATGAAGTAATATACAAGAGTCTTGACATTTTTGTTGATATTAAACTTTAATTATTCATTATAAAAATTATGGATCTGTCTTGCTTTTTGCAAATATAAATACCTAGTTATACAATTGCATATATAGTTAACTTTTTAATTCGAAATTAAATTTAATAGCTACGCGTAATTTAAGTTAAAATAAATTTTTGCTATAAAACTCGATTCATATCATATTGTTAAGTATTTTTTAATTTTTTTCTTCAATAGAATCTAAAAGCAAATAGTTCTTACCAAATTATAGAGTTGTCTGATTTTTTCAAAGAGTATCCTTGGGAACTACATACTACAATGCAGACGTTTTTTTAAATTGTTTAATACCACAAGACTTTACCCAGTAAAGATTTAAATTTATTGGGTACCGCGGAGTGTCATTTAAATCTTTTGACGAGTTTTTAAAAAAAGTTTGGATTATAATAATACATCGAAACCGATTGCATTCTTAAAAATTATAACCAAAAGTACAAATACAACTTACTACCCATTATGAAAACGATGTTTGAATAACTCTGTCCTCAGATTATTTAATAAGTAATAACAGGAGAGTAATCTACCGACGTCGTTGTATCCGTTTTACTCCACACACGAGCGTCACTGCTTTTTGTTCCTGTAGATAGCGTTAGGTACTTCTGAAAATTTTTCATTTATGTATTTAATTTTTAAATTTTCATCAAACGGCAACTACTTACGACGGGTTTTTTCATCGATAATACATTATTCCATTGATTATAAATAATTATTATAATATTATATACATGTATGTTACTATGCTATACCCTGCAATATACGATATAGATACTATATGTGTTTTGTAAATATCGTGATCAAAGCATCCAACATTTACCATAGATATTATATTCAATAATAATTTGTTTTATGCATATACATTTATGTACGGAAGCATAGAAGTGAGAGAGAAGAAGACAGTCTCTTCTCTACATCGTGTCCTTAAATCATATACCAGTATATCATCTAAGTTAATAACATACGGGAATAAATAAGAAAATATTTTGAGGATATAGCAGTCTTAACACAAATAAATAAAAGAATTAGGATATAATAATAATTTTATTTATTATTTGCAAACGAGCCACAACATTTAATTTACATTTTATATAATAAGAAGAAGATATTTATTTATAGTATTTATGTTTTTATAATAATTTATAATTTCCAATATCTTTCATCTATATTCTATACGTCCAGCAATGATAATAATCAAAAAATATGAATTACGATAAGACCTCATAATGAGTTTATAAGGAACCAAATAAAAATAATTTTAAAAAAAATTTGAAACTAAAATGGGAAGGGGTGCATGGGCGCCCGCAGGCAAATGAATTTTAAGAATCAAAATAAAAAAAAATATGAAAAAATATGTATTAAAAATAAATATTAAAGTCTGCAGTTTACAATATCACTATTAATTACCTCATAATTATATTTACAATAATTAGATCATGACATAATGAATATTTATGAGACACTAACCAACCGTCAAAAATTAAAAAACGATTTGGAAATAATTGAACTAGAGTTAAATAATAGAAAAAAAAACGTGAAAGGAGGCATGTGCGCCCGCAGGCAAAAGAGTTTAAACAATCAAATAAAAAAAATTATACAAAAAATTAATTAAATTTTAAATTTCAAAATAAAAATGGGAAGGGGAGCATGGGCGCCCGCGGGCAAATGAATTTTAAGGATCAAAAAAATAAAATTATGAAAAAAAGTGTATTAAAAACAAATCTGAAAGACTGCAGTC